TTAGGGTGAGTGCCTATGTTAAAGTGAAGGTATTAGCAAGATTTTAATTGTTTTGCTTTTTTTTCTACCTCCAAATATTGTTCCAATGCATTCCAATGCATCTTGAGTTAAATAGGAATTTCTTCATCATAAAGATACATATTCCTTCAAAAACTTGTTAAGAAAATCTCAATATGCTCCATAAAAATCTCCCATCTCTGCAGATTTTGATAATAATTAAGCGCTTTATGTTCATCCTTTTCGACTCCAATCACATTAAGATGACAGTTATCAAGTGATAACATTCCAAATTATTGCAATCCATTTACCATAAAGATCAAACCCGATTTGAATCATGGGATCATTTAAGCTTGTAAGCAGAAATTGATAATGTCATGCATCAAGTTAAAGTTATAACAGATCCAGAAGTTTCGTTGGGTGATATGTTTGGGTAAGAATAAGTATCAGCGGGGCTTTAATTCCTTTAATTGTTTTTTTTTCTATCAGAAGTTATTCTAATACGTCTCAAGTTGAATGGAAAGTTCTTTATTATAAAGATTAAACATTTCTTCAATGATTTCATTAAGAATATATATGTTCTATTAGCGACGCTCATATCTGTAGATTTTCGATGAAAGTCTATGTTCGTCCTTTTCAGCACTAATTCCACCTTTAAAACAATAACTAACATTATTTGTTCCACCAGTGTTCCCATCTCTGCAGACTGTTGATAATACATGAAAGCCTTATATACGTCCTTCTCACCCCAATTTCATTTTGTTAGCAATGTCTGGCACTACTTGTTCACTTAACAGCTGATTTCCGACAATGAAGGACTTACATTCGTCCTTTAGACTCAAGTTCAATTAAGAAACCTGTGTCAAGTGCAAATATTCCATCAGCATTTCCAATTTTTGCTGAATTCTTGATGCTTATCCTTTTCAATCCATTCACAGATTTACATAAAACTAAAATTACGATATAATTTTTGCATATTATTCAATGAAAATTTTGTAAATTATTTGAGTGCAAATAATTTCATTAAGGCTTAAAAATTTGAGATTCTTACCAAACTTTAAAATATTACAATCAAAGAACAATTGATAGTGTTTCAAGATTGCTTTCTTTTCATATTTTCTATAATAAAGTCAACTTCGAACTTCATAATATAGATCATTACTAAAATATCTATTTACAGGAACATGAAAATAGATGTTAAATATTATATAGTAGAATTTATTCGGTAATTGGATCATATGAAAAATTCGAAATTTGGCTACATCTATGAAAATGCGTAGCATCATATCAATGGAGATTATCATTCCATTGTCATAATCCAAATAAGAGTCAAATAGGGATTTCTTCATCATAAAGACACATTCCTTCAATGGCTTAAGAAAATCTCAATATGTTTCATAAAAATCTTCCGTCTCTGAGATTTTTGATAATAATTGAGTGCCTTATATTCTCCTTTTCGACTCCAATCACATTAAGATGACAATATTCCAAATTATTGCAACCCATTTACCATAAAGATTAAGATCAATTTGAATCATAGCATCGTTTTGATCTTGCAAGCAGAAATTGATAATGTGATGGTCAAGTTAAAGTTATGTCAGATCAACCTTTAATTTGGAGTTTCGTTGGGTAATATGTTTGGGCAAGAATAAGTATTAACGGGACTTTAGTATTCGACTCCAATCACATTAAGATGACAGTATTACAAATTATTGCAACCCATTTACCATAAAGATCAAGATCGATTTGAATCATAGCATCATTTTGATCTTGTAAGCAGAAATTGATAATGTGATGGTCAAGTTAAAGTTATGTCAGAACAACCTTTAATTTGGAGTTTCGTTGGGTAATATGTTTGGGTAAGAATAAGTATTAACGGGACTTTAGTTCTTCAATTGTTTTTTTATCTGTCAGAAATTATTCTAATGCGTCTCGAGTTGAATGGAAAGTTCTTCAATAATGTCATTAAGAAAATATATGCTCTATAGCGTCGCTTATCTCTGCAGATTTTCAATGAACGTCTATATTCGTTCTTTTCAACACTAACTCCGTTTAAATAACAATAACCAACACTATTTGTTCCACCTCTGCAGACTGTTGACAATACATGAGAGCCTTATATACGTCCTTCTCAGCCCCCATTTCATTTTGTTAGCAATATTCGGCACTACTTGTTCACTAGCTGCTGATTTCTGATAATAAATGACTTACGTTCGTCCTATTTAATTAGGAAACCTGTTGCCAAGTGTAAATACTCAATTACCATAAAACTAAAATTACGATATAATTTTTGCATATTCAATAAAAATTTTTGTAAATTATTTGATTACCAATAATTTGTCTTAGGCTTAAATGTGTGAGATTTTTACCAGACCTTAAAAACATTGCAATCAAAAAACAATTGACTGCGTTTCAAGATAATTTCGAACTCCATAATATAGATCATTGCTAAAAGATTTATTTACAAGGGCACATGAAAATAGGTGGTGATAATTATGTCGAAAGTTATTAAATATTATAGTAGATTCATTCGGTAATTGGACCATGTTGAAAAAAATTGAAATTTTAGCTACATCTATAAAAATGCGTAGCATCGAACGGTCGTTCATTTCAGTATCATAATCCAAGCATACAAGTTTTTAACAATATTCTAACGCTTTGTTTTCAATTATATTTTCCAATTCCTACTCCATTGCTGCAACAATTTTCATGGTTATATGCTCCAACACCTTGATCTACCGCATTTTGATCTTCCATTCTTAAACCAGGTAAGTTTTCATTTTTCCATCATGATCTTCTCTCCTTTTCATCAACATCACTGACATTGTTCTTTGTACTTTTACCATCATCATCACATTTAACATCACGTTCAAATGCTTCATGCTCATTCATTTCGATTCTGATTCCATCTTGATAACCACCTCCAGGGTCATATGTTCTATCATTTGCCGATTTTACTTCCTTTTCATTCATCACGTTCGTATTACTCATCCACATTTCTCATATTATTCTTTCGTTTTATTATCACTTGATTTCCAACATTATTCTTTTCGTCTTTTATTGGTTTCATACCATTTCTATGTTGTTTAGAGTCACCGGATTTACCACCACTGTCGTTTTCTACACCGCTTCTCTTTTCGTAATAACATACAAGATCGTTGATTCCATTGGCAATGGTAATGAATACTTCATGTTTATCCTCTTCAACAACGTCATCACTTGAATCAGGTACGTTTCTCATTTTTAC